TTGTATATTTACTTACATTGAGCAATGGACTAAAAGTTGCAGAGGAAAGAACTTAGTTCTGTGACTGTCAAGTCAGTTGAAAAGCTTCTTGGAAATTCTCTCATAGAGAATTTGACTAAAAGCTTGTACTGACCATATTTTATATATTTAGATTCTAATCTCTAACCAACTACTTCTGCCTCCTCTTGCAATGTCAAGTGTCACCGGATGTTATTGTTTATATTTTTGCTGCCGTTTTCATTTTTTTTAATTGTTACTGTATAGAGGTCAATTATTTAAAATATTTCACTAAATATGATAAGTTTATTTTTACATTGATAAAAAACCCTTTGTTCATCTATTTTTGGACATCACATGATAAATGAAGCATTGTCAGTGATAAAATCTGTTGTAGCATACCTTCGGACAATAATAGGTATGTCCCCATTCACATAAATACAGTAGTAAATACTGTATGTTGGTCTGCAGTTGGAGATTCATTGTGGAATTCACTTGACTGACTTCTAGCAGTTGATTACTTCTTCTATGCACTGCTGGTGAATCCTATATGTGTTGTTCCTGTCCTAAGTATTATCGTTCATTACCAATCTTTGTGTGATTATTCTATTCAGTAACCTTCTCCAGGTTACAACAGTATCCCTTCTACAAGACTTGATAAAAGGGGCATTTTAAATAATAGAATCACCTTTGTTCCCATATCTTTAGACAGCTCTCTGGAAGATATGACAAAGGAAACTTTTTCCATACAATTCTCTTTGTTCCCATATCTCTCAAAAACATGACACACTATGCTTTTTCCCTTTTCTTATATTTTAGGGAGCTCTCTGAAGAATATGGTTTCAACGGTGAATTAATTTTCAGATGTTTTTTGTTTCTTTGAAATGAGAAATTTATGTTTATGCCATATATACTCATATATAAGCAGACTCCATGTATAGTGCAACCGATGAATTTTTTTACATGAATTTTAACCTCTCTAGAAAAAAATTACCTTTGTATACTGCAACTAGTCACTAAAATTGTATGATTATTAACCTCTTCAAAAAAAATTACATGTGTAGAGTGTGACCTCTTATTTTCTGCATTAAAAAAAAAAAAAAAAAAGATCATAAACACTTGCACTATACATGAATATACAGAGTGAGATGGATAAATTGTCATCTAAATTATGCAAAAATGAAAATACTACTGAAATCTTGTTTTAACAGTTATATTTACCAAAATTACACAAAAATATCTTGAAATACTAAAGAGTAAATTTATTCAATAAAATTGCCATTAGCTTCAATCCGGACTACTCGTGTAACTTTTTTGGATGGTCTCTTTGTTTAAGTAAGTGTATGCTGCCATAATCCTTGCTTAATTTATTACTTAATCATAATATAAAAAAATATACCCCACTTTATATCCAGTAGAAATTTACATCCAGGAAGGGAGTGCTGAAAAGTTCTCATCTCAGCCCATTTCTCAAAATCTACCCAAATGAGTAAAGATGAGAATGTTTTTAGGACCAAGAAATTTTCAGCATCTCTTAATATATAGTAATCCTGTGGAGGATCAATTTATTGTTTCCTAGCAATAGATAACCAATGCAGCATTTTATATCCAGCAAAATTATATATTGATGAGAGGATGATGAAAAAATTCCTGGCCTGACTCCTGACACAAAATGGCTAAATGACCAATCATTACAATTCTCTTCTTGGTTGGATTGAGACCATTTAACCTGACTTCATTTAGATCATCATCATCATCAGAGCCATTTCAACTTGAAGGAACACTTCAAATCAATGTTATTTCTAATTTTCAGCATAGCTGTTCATTTCCAAGCAAGGCCCATCTGTTTAGGCCCATTTGTATTTCTTCAACACTCACAGAACCAGTTTGTGGTTTATACTGTGACTTAAAGTTCAAGTCCATCCACCACCAAGGCCAAATACGGAATTCAGTTATCCTCCATCTTGGTTACTAATCACAGCTAGAGAGTTCAGTCTCCCCAACTATTTAACCTGTAGTTGAAGAGAGGAGAGATAGATTCACATATTTCCCAAAACTGTGCAAAAGTGAATATAACAATCTTGACTGGAATTTGAACTCTGAGCTGCTAGCCACCTGCACATCAGAATTCATCTGCATGTTCATATTGGTAATAAAAATAAAGTGTTTTTTCCAAATATTTACTCACCCATTATTGTCTATCACAATGACTGTGACATGCCAGTGACAAGATATTTTATCAAGATATCTGACAGCACAGGGAGAAACAGATTCATGAATTTTCAAAGGGTACCTTCACAAAATGAACAGAGATACCTCAGCCAAAATTCAAATTTAATATTTACAGAAGAATGCTTTATGCAAATGATTCAATGACTCAACTACTCAGTTTCCTTAAGAATCATCCTGGTATGCCAGTAGTGATTTATTTTGTCAAGGCATCTGGCAGATGGTCAGCCTGAAGAAGGAAATAGATTAATGCTTCTTCAAAAGGGCTTTAATTCAAAGCTAATACCAGAACCTTGACTGAAATTTGAACTAGGTTAGCCTGTTCCATTGGTACAAGGAAACTGGTACAGTCAGAAAGAGACTGCTGAATTTTCTGGAAAAATTAATGAAGGAAGAAGGTCTAGAGAATTTAGCACTCACAAGTTATATTGAAAGTAAGAGAAGCAGGAGGAAACAGTGAGTCATCTATTTAATAAGTTTATGTGAATGGATAGCAGAACAAGGATAAAGAGGGATGGTAAAGGGTTAAAAGTTACTTAGAGCAGTAAAAGAAAGTTGTGGAGAGTTGCATTCAAAAATGACATGACACATCAAAGAAGAATTATATTGCCATTGCCAGTATTTTTGTGACAAACAATATAATTAGTTTGTCATTGAAATTTTTTTTTAATCATTTCACCCCAAGCAAGGCTGGAATGCCACTAGTACGCAGAGGGTTACAGAGAATGAAAGTGAGAGAAAAGACTGGGTATAGTGGGGATTGAGGAAAGGATATAAGATGAACAGGATTCAAAAAGATAGTGATTGACGTTGCATTTAACTTTTTGAAGATTATAGTTATCAGGGAAGCAAGTAAATGAAAGGAAGTTATTCAGGCAGGAAGTGTGAGAAAAGAAACTTTTGGAGTGGAAGTGGTGGTTACATTTAACTATTTCAACAGTAAAAGGGTGGGACCTAGATGCCAATCTAGTAGCATGTTTAAATTCACATGTCGGGGCACAGGGGAAAAGGTTCATCAGAGCAGTTACCATGCAAATATTTGTAGAAAAGACAGAGGGAATCTATGTCACCTCGATGAGAAAGTGACTGAAGTTGAGATGCCAAGTCAGGATCTAATACATTACAAATTTTCTTTGGATTATGTCAAGAACCTTGAAACGAATAACAAAAGCACCAGACTATATATAGCAATAGTATTCAATGCACAGCCAAATAGTAGATGTGTAAATGTGCATGATAGACACTGGTGAGAAAAATCTTTTGGCATGACACAGTGATCCAACTTTCCTTGCAGTAGATGCAACGATTGATTCGATGTAGTTGTTCCACTTCAAGTCAGTTGAAAAGGTGAACCAAGAAGGCGCAGTGTGTTGCTCCAGGAGTCTAGCATCGGGAAGTTTCTCTATGGTGGTTAAATGAGAGCAGGTTAGTTTTGGGGGCATTAAAATTTACAAGCTGTTTCCTGCACCAGTTAGCCACTGATTGGAGATCCTTTTCAAGAGCAGCATCCAGGTTAACTTTGTCAGCATTGATGTATTTACTCTTGAGAAAGGAGGAAATGGTCATCTCATCTGCATAAATGTCTAGAATCCCTATTTCGTCCAAAATCAATTACTCCAATAACAATCATTATTTATTAAGTGTTATGTAGTAGTAATCCACCTATAACGCAGTGAATACTGAACAATCTCCTCACAGATGAAAAAAAAGATGAAGTAACACAAATGTGGTTCTACAGAAGGATGCTGAGAATAACATATACCGAACATGTGAGCAATGATGAACTGTCTACAAACAATGGCAGCAAAAAGGATGCTTATATGTAACATCAGAAAGAGACAGTTGAAATTTCTTGGGCACATAATGAGGAAAGAGAGTTTGGAAAATTTGATACTCACAGTACACTGAAGGCAAAAGGGACAAGAGGAAAGCAATACAGCATGTACCTGATGAGCTAGAGTGAATGAATGGTAAAGCAAGGTTTGAGAGATATAGCAAAAAGACAAATGTCATTACAAGCTATAAAGGACAAGAAATTGTGGAGAGCCATGATTGCCAACATCCTGAAGGGGCATGACACATAGAAGAAGATGGTGGCTTGATCACTTTATGATGTGCAACGTGTTTAAAATTTAGCAAGAGGGGAATACATGCCAATGTACTTTTTTATGACAAGATGTTGAATAATTTAATGCTGACAGCATCAGATTTTGACATTTATTTGACATATTTTTCATATATTTTGACAAGTGATGAGACTTATCAAATATATAGAAATAATTTTTTTCTTTCTAATACTCTTATTTCCTGTTCTAAGGCTTGTGATATTTTTATTACAGGAATGAATCTTGGCTTGTCTTGCATAGGGATTATATCAAGCTGGCATATACTTAAAATCTGTGAAATTATTAATATTATTTTTCATGCATTTACATGTTTGCACCTAGATGGTTATCAATAAAGATCAGGTGATAAGTCTCCTCAAATCTGCAACATATTTCTCATTGTCTATGCTAGCCTCTCACTAATTGTTATTTCTATGGCAAGTATTCAGATGAGCTACATTCCTTTGTTTGACCAGTTCAGACCTTCACAGCTAGAACCCATTATGAAATGTAGACAGCATTAACTCATCCTCATTCCCTTTATATTCCATTGGTTAGGAGGAAGTTCCACTCTGACAGCTTCTTCTCCAGAACTGTCACTTTGTGAAACAGATTCCCAAGAGGATGCTTCCCTGACCATTACAATCTTCCCCTCTTAACTGTAGACTTATGACCACATCATGTTGAAACACCAGTTCCTGTATGATCACTGAAGATAAGCAATGTCGAGCCTGGTTATTACCTAGATGGGCAACTGCTTTGGAATAACAGGTGCTGTAAGCTTGGAAATGTGGGTGGTGTAATGGATAATGGCTTGGAACAGTAAATCCAAGAGCTAAGTTCTAATTCCACCTGTGTTTATTATATTCACTTATGTACAAATACTCTTGGGAAAGGTATGATTGCACCTTTTCTTCCCCAGTTGTGGGTTAATTAGTAAAATTTGTATCATTATGTTGCAGTTTTCACCTGTGGAACTCCCTTCTGATTTCTTGCTTCCCTGCTATCTACAATCTTTGAAAATTTAAATGCAACATCAATCATCATCTTCCGAAACCTTATTTGTTATTGTCTTTTCTCCTCACTAAAACCTTCCTATTCTCTTTCACTCCCAGTAACCCCTTGCGTCTTAGTGGCATTATTGCCATCTTCTGTCTTCTTGAAACCTGTTCTTTTATTGTCCTTTTTCCTCACTAATGTCTCCTCATTTTCTTTCACTCCCTGTAACCTCTTGCATCTTAGTGTCACTATTGCCTTACTTGGGGTGAAATGATTAAAAAAAAAATCTTTGTAAATGATTACTATCCACTGAACAAATATTCCATTCATTTTAATTTCAAAGGCTTTTCATCATAACGACTCAGAGCATTATTCTACTGCCATACATAGGCAATACAAATTGGAAATGAAATTGAAGGAGAAAGGAAGGCAAAAATTTCTATCTGCCATATTGACTAACAAAAAGAGATTCACAGTTGCAATGAAAAGCAAGTGAAATTAAGATGAAAGAAATGCAAGTCAAAAATGAATAATGGCTAACAACAAATCATTTTATAGAAAATGAAGAGAGTATTTCTACAAATACTTTTAGATGACGAGTAAGGGAAATTAAGATGAAAGAAATACCAAAAATTAATAATGTTTGACAATATTTCATTAAATAAAAATTTATATAGTATTACTACTTGTTTACTAACGACCAAATATATGTTCTATTCTAATAGTTTCTTATCTCTCATTTCTTGCCCATGTAACTTGCTTCCCTGCCACTGACAATCTTCAAAAGTTTATCTAAACAGCAACTTAGTGGCATTATCACCTTGATTCATATGAAATGACAAGAAAAGAAACTGTAAGAAAGGTTTTTTTTTTTTTGGTTTTTTTTATACTTTATAAATACAATTGCAAAATTACTTAAATAATACTAATTTACTCATGCCGTCATTATATATCATACGAGCAAGAATCTCTTCTCTTTTGCTTTTTGTTTTTAAATGCCACTTCAGGATGTAGTCAATCTTTGTTTTTACAGATTCCTTTTCTTTTACTTTCTGTGAAAGCTAGTGGAATGGTTTCTCACTATCTTCTGCACAGTTTGAAATTCAGAATTTTCCTTGTCTTAGATTGGTTACCTCCTAAGGTTAGAGAGCCTAGTATGCCTTGCTATTTAACCCATATCAGGTAGGAAAATAGATTCATACTTTTGCTAAGGACTTATATCTGAAAATGAATGCAACAGAGTAGTCTGAAATTTGAATTTGGCTCACCAATTCCAATTTCTCTGTTGATAGCTGCTATATGTGGCTCCCACATCCTTTAGTAATAATACTAAATTAGAATCCTTGTTTAGCTTGATAAAGAGAAATCCATAATTATTCAATGGTGAATAAAAGCTGAGTGGAACTTCCTCCTTATAAATGGAATATGAAGGAAATGAGCATGAGGTGACTCTGTACATGGCATGGATGTGCTGATTATTAACACTTTTGTCCACATTGAGAATTTTCCCCTCTCTTTGATTGGTTGCAACCTGAGGTTAAGGGGCCCAGTCTACCTTGCTACTTAACCCATATCTTGTAGGAAAATAGATTCATTCCTTTCCTAAGGGTGTAAGTATGAAAATGAATGCAACAGACTAGTCTGGAATTTGAAATCTGCTTACCAATTCCAATTTCTCTGCCAATAATTTCTACTCTGCTCACATATTCTTTAGCAGTAATACTAAATTAGAATATATTTAATAATATCATAGTAAAAGCAAATAAATAAAATTTTATGTTTAGCTTGATAAAGAAAAATCCACAATTATTCAATGGTGAATAGAATGTTATTTGTTTATTTTGATATTCAGGAAGTATTGAATGTAAACAAGAAAAATTGGGCACCTCGGCGTGGTGTAATGGTTAGCAAGTTTGTCTCGCTAAAACAGTTATGACTGAATAGTGATTTCAATCCTCATTGGGTGCCCCATACATTCGGCCTTGTGGCACATCTAAGCAACACTTAGAAAATTAATGTAAACAAGAAAATGTAAGAAAAGGTTTTGGTATTTTACAAGTAAAATGCAATACAGTTTGACTGATTCCATGCATTTGAATTGTTGCTCTTATCATTGATTGATGTGAATATTATTATGGACACGAGAACATTTCTCTGGTCATGTTCAGAT